GGCTACTTCCAAAGTCGAGGATATGCCTCACAAAATGTCAGTCGAACACAACAGGTAGGACTCAGTCACAACCACAGTTACAGGTAGTTGAGGAGAGGCGGAATTAACGGCGTCACTGAGAGCTAAACACCCCCCCCCACCCTGAATGGAGGGAATGTCACTGGAGGCTCCCCCTAAGGGGCTGGCGCTTACCAGTCGTCCATAACTGTGGTCTACCTGAAGTGCCGGGTCTGACACCGGGCAGTTACCTCCCCTCTGGGAGCAGACCCTTTTTGAAGTAAGAATGTTAACTAACTGCTTTTCTTGACAAGACAACCCTTACTTTATTTATCAAGTAAAAATTTAATCTGCCTTATGGTCTACAGTATAATAAACGGCAATTTACTGATAAGATCCATATAATACTAAAACCTAAAGAGTTTCATTTAAGGGTATGGAACAACCCCCTACGAGACTACAGACCCAATAATTGCATATTATCTTATTTTGACGTATGGTGGTAAAAAGTATGTTTAGTGATAAAATAACTCTATCCATTTCTATCTATCTATTGAGCATAAAATAGTTCAATAGTAATGGAAAGAAATAAACAATACTATAGATAACCAACACTAAGAGAGTAAGTTTGTTAGGGTTCACCTACACTACAAATCATAGACACTATGAGCACAGACAATGTATTATATTGTCTGTGCTATGAGCCTCCAAATGTGTAATTCTTAAAACACATGGCTCACTTACTCTACAGATCATAGTCTATACGAGCCTCGTAAATAAATATTGAAGGTTCACTTACTCTACAGATGTCTAAGAGCCTCGTGTCTTATATTGGAATCCGGTTTACGAATTGGAGGGATTGAAATTTGGGGTTGCTTCAGCCTTTTTGTGACTTTCCTTAACGAGTAATCCGTAGCTTCCGTAGCCGACAAAGATTGAGTATATTATTCAAACCATCGGTTTTTTGTGTCGTACAATAATCTTTTCGAATTCCGTGCTGCTCGGTTAAAGTTGGCTTTATCATTTGGGTTCCTTGAGTTTTGCCAAATTCTTCTGAGTCGTCTCTTTTCTGCTATCTTTTTCTTGATATGAATTGGGTAGCCTAGGCCTATTTTCTCTAATTTTTCATGATTAGGTAGAGGTGTGGATTCTTTGGCAGAATTTTAAATACAGCCAACGATCAACAGCAGCTTCTACATTCAACACTCGCTGACAGTGTTGTTACCCAATGAGTGTTGTCACCATTGAGATGATGAATAGATTATAACTGGAGTCACCTTTCTGTGTTTAAAAAGCGTACCATACTATTATTGCTGGTTTTCTTTTCAGTGTTTCGTGTTGTTAGGTTGGCCGTATGATCGGTTGGGGTTGGTTGGATGCTGACGATGTTGTCGGATTTGAGAGAGGCAAGATAGTTATAATCATCCTGTTATTTGTTGATAGTACAGTATGTTTTTTCTATGATAGTACACAAAAATATGTCAACTATGATTGCATTATAAGTTTATTTATTTACTGTACGAGTAACCCATTTTGACAAGATCAAGCCAATGGTCGTTCTTCAATCAAATGCCATGGCTAAAACATTCATCTCTATGGGCTAAACAAACCCAAGCCTAAACCAATATCAAACCAGGGAACTTGACTATTTTCACCATTAATCATAGCTTGAATAGAGGAAAATAAGTTAGTATATTTATTTAGTATAATAAACAATTGATAATGTTCCAAAAAACTTTAAATACACTGGTTTTAACGCGTAAAAACTTAAGTTTTTTTATATAAGTCCGCATCAAATAATGAAATAACGAATAATCCCAAATATAGCATGGTAGGTTAGAATGAATTGAATTTGAGAGCATCCCACCATCCGATCACACCACCAACCTGACAACACGAAACACTGAAAACAGTGGCATGTTTTTCTCTAATTTTCAACCATGGTGGTTCAACCAGATAGTAGTGACTTCTAGCTTCGAACGCCGGGGCGGTGAGGCACGGCCACCTTTAATTCCAGGCCGCGGCCTTTGAAGTGGCAACATCGCAAGTAAGGTTGTAACAGCTAGCTGTTTTGTTTGGAGGCGGCTAGTGTTAATTTGTGTATTTCTTAAGAATACAAAAGCTTGTTTACCGTGCCATGAAAATATTAACTCCTTTAATGTACAAAAATAGATTTTCAATTTAAAGATTGTTTTGATTTTAATTCTTTAAATTTTATTTTCAATCTTTCAATACATTTATGTTTATACATTTAAATTTAAATGAATAATACGCGAATTAATGATCTGGTGTCACCTGTCTGCCATGATATCTTATGGAATATCTAGCGCTAGACAACACTCTACTTGCAACGTTGCCAATTACCAGGCCGTAGCCTGGGGCCCTATTTTTGAAATGGTTGACAGTTGAGTCAATCGTCAGCACTCAACTCAACCAACAACATGATTTGGTATTTTTGAAACCCAACAGTTGGGAAGCGAGTTGGGAATCACTAGTTGAGAGACTCGTGGTGGAAATGTAGAGCATACGACCGTCAAAAATTCAGATGACGTCATTTTGAACCAATCACAAAGCAGAGTTCTTGCGGACTTCGATTTAACCTCTTCTTACTCTAAAATCTGGCAGCTAATCTCAATCTGCCATATTTCGAGACACTGAGGTAAACTGTCAACTCCGTTCTTGAGAGATTGAGATTGAGGTTATGTCTTGCTTAATCTTAGTGATTGCAAAGTACCTTAACTTAAGTAATAAACTAAAGTAAACTAAATAAAGTAATAAACTTAAGTATAAAAATAAAATTTACTATGGATGTTTGTTTTAGGGTGTAGCTAGTTATAAGTTTAGGCATAGGCTGCACTTTACTTTAGGTCCTACACTCATCCTTAATACATTATTATTTGCTTTCTTCGTCTCTATTTCGGAACACATCACCTTATTTTAGTTTCCTTCATCGGTTTGTTTTATGTTAATTTTAATTGTTTTTTATTTAGGTTAAAGCGGCTATTTGCCATTGCACTGGAAGCATATCGTAACTTAAATTAATTTGATCCCTTTATTAGGTGAATAGTATTGAAACAAACTATGATATTGTTTCTCTCTACCACAATCTTTAATACCTTAAATGATAGGTCTAATAACAATAATTATCTTATAATAAGTTCAATTAGTATGCCTAGTCTATTTCAAACATTCCAACAAGAATAAAACCCTTGATTAAATGGTCTAGTATTGACACAGTAAATAAAATTAAAATGCGATTATTCTACAGAAAACAAACGCATAATTGGGTGCTAATAGATTGACAACAAATACATAACCTCTAAATCGCAATTAGTAAATTAAAGCAGTAACAAAACAATATGGCGTCGTCTCAAAAAGAGTAATTTTTTGCCGAAAGAGAGGAAGAAGAAAGTGCAGTCAACCTCCACTCAACAGCTCGATAGGTGTTGAGTAGTTTTGGTTGTATAAGTCCACCGTCAACCGTTTCAAAAATTCGAATCGATTGGAAATAGATTGACTCGACACTCAACTCAACAGTCAACCATTTCAAAAATAGGGCCCCTGGAGTTAAAGGTGTGCCTGCATGGGGCTGAATTTTTATTTCAAGATTAATTTTGCCAACAGTGTCATTTGTAGACTTCTGATTGGCTGAGGGAACACCATTACCGGAACGATACAAATGGTCGTTTTCGGCCTCGGTGCCCGGTGGCATAGTAGATAGAGTGCTTGGCTGATAAACGGGAGGGCCGGGTTCGAATCCTTCCAATCGAACTAAACTTTTTGTCTAGGATTTTTTCATTTATCAGCAAGTTCGGTTAGGTTATGACATTTTAATTTTATAATTAAAACATAAAAAATTTAATTTTAGCCATTTATAGTTTTTTTTATGAACAGAACTGGTTTTTCGATTAAACCTTCATTAGATTTTTCATTATCAGCAAGTCTGGTTAGTTTGGTTAGGTTATGACAATTTAATTTCATAATAAAAAAATATAAAATTGAATTTGAGGCATTTGTAATTTTATTTAATAAACAGAACTAATTTTTCGATTAGTAAACCTTCATTCCTGAAAAACAAATCGTGCGGCCCTGGGTGAGGAGAAAGGTGCCCATGCACTGGTCCATTTTTCGTAGATTTCATTTCATTCTTACGCCTTTGGATTCAGTTTTAGTTCTTCTGTTCACTCAGTTTCGTATCGTTTTCAGTTTCAGTTTATGTTTCTGTCAAGTCAATGCACTGAGCTATAATTCTAACTGGAGGTAGCACTGAATGTCAAAGATGCGTGTCGCCAGCCGCCATGTTTGCGTGAGGTGGGTGTCCATAAGAAGCCATATTATTGCTATAACTATTATTATACTTGGCTTAAAATACCTACTTTGTATGTTCGCCATTTCAAAGAAAATTATTAAAGTATTAAAAGTATTCAAGTATGACAAAAATACTCACTGCTATACCAACCTAGTTATAAGAAGCCATGTTATTGCTATGGTAATAAAACTTACTGCTATACCAACCTAACAAAATCAGCGACTCGCTTTTGACAGACTTCTGCCATGGCAGTGCTACCTCCAGTTATAATTTTAGCTCAGTGAGTCAATGTCAATTAATTCCGTCTGACTCCGACTGTGACACTGAGCTAAAATTATAACTGGAGGTAGCACTGCCATGGCAGAAGTCTGTCAAAAGCGAGTCGCTGATTTTGTTAGGTTGGTATAGCAGTAAGTTTTCTTACCATAGCAATAACATGGCTTCTTATAACTAGGTTGGTATAGCAGTGAGTATTTTTGTCATACTTGAATACTTTTAATACTTTAATAATTTTCTTTGAAATGGCGACCATACAAAGTAGGTATTTTAAGCCAAGTATAATAATAGCCATAGCAATAATATGGCTTCTTATAACTCACACCTCACGCAAACATGGCGGCTGGCGACACGCATCTTTGACATTCAGTGCTACCTCCAGTTAGAATTATAGCTCAGTGGACTGTGACTGTGAGACAGTCAAAATCAATGCCAATCATTTTTCCATGTCAATACAGAGGTGAAAGAAAAGTGGTTTTGTTTGTTTCTTATTTCTCCTGTTATTATTTGCTGTAAATTATGTGGGTGAGTTAATTTATGTAGTTTGATAAGTACAATACATTCTAAAAAACTTTTAATTACTAAGTAGTCTAATAGCTTAGTTCTAACCTAACCTGGATTTAACCCTATTTTATTTTTCACTTGGTAAGTTATGCCCATTTGTTTATAAAATTATATCTATTATTAAAAAACAATTAGGCCTAGGCCGGATTAATATTAATCACTATTATAATGTTGTATCACAGATGTTTACTCAGTACAGAAGTATTTATAAAACGGTGTCTAACTTACTTTCAGGAATAGAAATCAACTCAGGGTGAAAGTTGTTTTCTGACAACTTAGCCCTAAAGTTAGTGGTACAATTTGATTATCGTGAAGGACCAACCCAAAGAATATCTTATATGTTCTTTCTTTCCAATCTACTTGGGAAACTTTGTACACAGACAATACCGGTAATAGCCTAATACTTTAATGGTTTCTGTTGTCTGTGCTTTGTAGATAGTTTTCCAGTTCTACAAAGAATAGTTCAACTTATCGAATAGGAGAATAACTTTATCCTTTGAATTTTCCTAAACTGCATTTTTTTGGCTTAAAATACCTACTTTGTATGGTCGCCATTTCATTGAAAAGTAACTTATTAAAGTATATCTTAATAGGCCCATCTGTAGGCCTATGTCTAAGTTATCATCCACCTTTTTATTTGTTTCGTCAAGTTTGTATGATGTACAAAGTTCGTACTTTGTAAAAGTGATGTTCATTGTTTATAACTTTACCCAGAGACCTAAGTTAACTTAAGTTTAATTAAAGTAATGTAAAAGATGTATAAGTAGGACCAATTTGAACTTGTTTGTGAAATTCCTTCATCATATCTTAATTAAATACCAGTTTATTTAATTCTAGATGTCGTGACAAAAGTAAATTATGCCAGAGCTGGATCCTCTTCGCCTTTGTTCCGCTGCGCTCCATCACAAGTATGTAGACGTCCATTTTTGTCTTTAACAACGTAATTAAGGCTAACTTATCTTTTAAACTAAAGTAGCCAAACTTGTATAGCTTATGGGTACAGTTTCTTAACTGGGCTATGCTAATATCAATTGAAACTATCGAATTGAAAATATTGATTAATAATCAATATTTTTAAATATATCTATTATAAAGTTTAACTATCATAACCTAACCTAACCAACCAAACTTGCTGATGGTGAAAAAAATGCATGAAAGTTTACTAATCGAATTGATAGTTTCTATCGATATTAGTATAGCCCAGTTAAGAAACTGTACCCTAGTTTATTCCGTAATTAATGCCTGCATGTTCATTTTAGCTGTAGGCCTACCTACTTATTTGTCATAAGTTATAAGTTACAGTTCACACCTAGGCCTATTGTGAGTCAGGGCCGTCGAGTGGGTGGGGCGACCAGGGCGACCGCCCTGGGCGCCGCGGTCAGGGGGGCGCCGCGGCAAAAGTAATGCAACAAAATTTAAAAAAGTTAGATGAGATGCACATAACTTAACGTATTTTGGAAAGTTATTTATAACCACAAATACTAGTTCTATTGAACAAATACATAGGCCTATTATTTGATACCAATCACTTAATAATTTGCAATGTTTTCCAAATTAAATATCAATATAGTATTGAATTAAATTTAGTAATAATAGCCTAAAGAATCAACTCCACTGTGAAGTTGAAGGCTCTGTCCCAACTTTGAACTTAATTATCTTAATGTATTGCAATGTCTTAATTATCTTAATATTGCAATGTCGCGGTTCGCGGTGTTGCTCTGTACACGTAGCTGATGTATTCTATTTTTATTTCGCCCGACCGGCCGACGGTCGACCTTGGGAACCACCCCTACCCCAATCACTCCTTTCTCCTACGGCAGTCTCAGCTGGGCAGCTGAGCTGCCAGCTTAGTGTGATGAGTGATTAAGAGTTATTTACACTACACTTAATGTTTAGGATCTCATATCTAAATATGATAACGTGGTTTTCTTTTATTCTGTATAAAAATTCTATTTAGAGTAGGTTTGGTTTGAGGTTTTGCATACATTGCATTAATTTCAATTTGCTCTGTATTAATTAATAACATATACAGTATTGTTCTTTTTATACATTTTAAAATTTTCTTAAATTAAATGGGATTTGGTTATCATCAATTAAAAAAGATTTTCATACAAAATTTAAGTAATTTATCCCTAATAATCAATTCCAGATTCCTGACTCTAGTATTTTTGTAAAGTGATTCAATCCCTTTAGGTGTCTGTTTTTGGGGATTAAAACAAAGATAGCGACATCATCACTCATTCAGTGTTGGGGGGGAGGGGGGAGGGCGCCTGGCAACATCCCGCCCCGGGCGCCAAAAAACCACGCGACGGCCCTGTTGTGAGTCAGCACTCATTGAAAAAAAGTAATATTTTTGCTTGTGTCGAAACCAGCGGCATTTTTATACAGTGTAGTAAGTTACCTAAATAAATTGGCTACAAATGCTTTTAAGGGAAAGCGTCCAAACTCATTTAAGTTAAGTTTTATAGATGTGCTGGGCCGAAGCCCAAGACTACCAAAACCACTACTTAAATAATTCGACCAGCGACACACTAGAATTTAATCAGCCATAACGGTGTTTTACGTAATAATTTAAGCTACCAGTTAGTGTTTTGTGACTGGCAAGAGAATTGATAATATTGTTAGGGAATGTTTTTTTTTGTAGGTAGGTAGGCCTACTAAGTTAATCCTCTAGCCATACCTTAAGTCAACTTGTTGGAACCAATGTAAAAAATAATTTTTAATAATTTCATGGAGTTAAGCCTAATCCTTTTGAAAATAATGATCTTCTGGGTAAATCTTAGCTGGGATCTAGTTAGGCCTTAATACTGTCTTAAACCTTTGGATGCAATCTAGAAACATTGGAAAATGTTGCATAGAGTACAATAAGTAACCAGAGCATATATCCTTGATGTATTCTTAACCATTCAAACCTAGCCTTAAGCTTTTAAACTTACAAATCTATGTAAAAACTGACAATTACCATTAGGCCTTAATTACCAAATAGTAACTCTAACGCAGCCTATTTTGTAACAGTTGCATGTGTTTACTAAAGGATCTGCTAGTGATAGCCTAAGTTACATGGATGTAATTTTGTTTACATTATTGTTTGCGTAGATGGCGTGCAGACAGCCTAGGGCGGAGGTTCAGCCTCAGCATGTTTTTGGTGTTTGCCCTCTGCCTTGTTACCCTCATCTTCACTCAACGCCTCGCTTCATCTTCCAACATTAATCTCACCATCGGTCGGACAATACAGGTAAGCACAACTGAAACTCATTAATTTTTTTATTTCAATGGACATCTCCATTTTAACTCCATACATCTCCATAGTGTTAAGCAATGAAATGAAATGATTTATTGTCGTTAAAACTATGTACAAAGTTCATGACAATCGTCAAAATAAAAACAAAATAATCAAGATGGCTATGGCAACTAAAATATCTAAAACTCTAAACCAAAGTACTCTTCATGTTTATACAGGCAAGCCTGGGTTAGAGTAGTTTTTAAAACATGTTTGAATTTTAAAACACACAGGTTTTTGATGGATGCAAGCAAGAAATTGTACATTTTTACACCTTGGTACTCAAAACTATTTTGAGTGGCTGTATACTTATGCCTTAGTGTAGACAGACTATCTTTTGATCTAGTACAGTAGTTGTGCACATCAGATATCTTTTCAAAGTGAGAAATGTTTTCTTTTACATACAACAAACTTGCCAAAACATACTTACAAAACATACTTAATACATACACTGTTAAGTTATGCATTAACAACACCATACAAACCATCAAAAGTGTGCAACAAATTCTCTGATTCCCTGATGATAAACTTAGTTGTTTTCTATAAAATAATATTGCACTTTTTTACTGTGTCCGGGCGTAAGTGTTTTGACTTATATCTGTCAAAAAACTACACCATAATGGTGATTGAATGACGCCTATTTGAGGTTCCCAACCCAAATGATAAGGGAGTATATGATAAGTTAAGATTAAAAAAAAAAATGGCAACTAAGCCATAATACAACTAAGGAGCATTTACAATAATCTTCATGACTATTAATTAAATACTGTATATATAAATTTCTTTTGAATATAGACAAATTCACTTAAAACACATAGAGATAATGTCATCATCCAAATTGTAAAATGCTAATTCTATAAAAAAATCTCTCTGAAAACAACATTTGTTGGATAGTATCCATTTTGGTCGATTCCTTGGTCTTTATTAAGTTCTAGTACTATTTTATCATCATCTGGCCGCTCTACCCGGCTAAAAGAAACGTAAAGTTGACTATGGGTAAATACTGTTTTCCCCTTTTTTTGAAATAAATACCAACTTTTGTGAAGGTTTTGCCTTGCGCTTTAATAATAAGTAATAGCAAAAGCTAATCGCAGTGGGAATTGAATCCTTGTAAACCTAAACGGCATATTAGAATCTGTAGATATTAGTTTTATTTTTAGCATGAAAAATATCCCTTTTCCTACTCCAGTAATTACTTCTAACTTAAAATTGTATTCCACATAACTAACACAACCAATCGTACTTCATTAACCAGACCCTTAAAATTGGGAAAAAGTATATTTCAGCTTTATAATAGACATATTAGGCTACAGTACATATTACCATTCGGTTTAAATAAAGTTAAACCACATGTTTTAAAGTAAACAAAGCAGACATTACCTAGATTCCAATGCTATTTAAATGTGAATTATTTTATTCCTTAACAACGTTTTGGTGCATAATTAAGAAAAATTAATATTTTTCCCGAAAATTTCATGCCGAGACCTTTAAAATGAGACCTCTCCCAGCTTTCTACGGCCTCCCGTTCACTCACAATTTCATTGTAAAATTTTGGGCTTACGGAATTAGATATATAGATGCCTAGGTGACTTGTTCAATTTTAAAATTCCTGCAACTTCAGCTGGATTAAAACTCTTTAAATAGTCCAACTTCTAACGGGTTCACAGATAAGTCATTACTGCTCCAAAAGGACTACTCTAAAATAATCTTTTTTTGCCTTTAGTTTAATATTTTCCCCTTTAGAACCAGATAATCATGGTATAGCCTGTACTGTAGATAAGTTGTCAAGTGTTGAGTTTTCTGGCGATTTGCAGAGCTGGTCGACCAATGAGGTGGAGTTGTCAAACATTACGGTGGAGATTGAGGAGGCGCTGGAGGACCAACGAGCTCTAGTCGCCCAGGAGATGAAGGGATACACGTACCCGGCTGGGAAATACAACATATCAGCCAGGTGGGTGGACATAACCTCTTACTATAATCTATCTATAATTGTATCATATTTGGTCTAAGCAGTTTCCACCTTACAATAAAGGGTGTAGACAGTTATGTGTCAGCTATTGACAAGTTACGACCCATTAACTATGTCGGCAATAAAAAATAAGATAGAAAATATAATTTTAGACACTATTGCATTCTGTGACTGTCTCACTTAACACTTAACTAATGTTCTTTAAAAAAAACGCAAAGGCTAGTCCATATAGATGGGATGTCTATGTCAGTATCCAATAGTCAATGATTGTACCCTTAAACACAATTATATAACATAAGCTTCATCTTCCTCCAGGACAGGAAACAGCTGATGTTTCAATAATTACTTAACCTTGAGCCTCCTGCTAATGTCATGACTCAATTACAGCAACAGCAGTTTGTGGTTGTGGTAACCTTGTACTACAGAACACTAACGTCTTTCTAATATCTCTTGACAATACCCACTACATTAGCTTGGACTTGTATGTTCGGCAGTTTTGATTGTTAATGGATAGCAAGATGGTAGGCCTATAATTTCCACTATAAGTTTGCAGCTGTTGCAGTATTTTTTGGGATATGAAATCCAAACAACTTTTAAATGTTAAGTATACTACATCAAAAGTACTGTGGTGTAATATCAACATAAACCTTTTGGGGGGCAAAAGTGTAAGATTCAAATAGCATAGGCCCTGCAAGGTTTTTCAAATTGTTATTACTATTTTGTTTTAACACAGGGTTTTTAATCTCCTAAAATTATTTTAAAACTTAACATAAAAAGTGTTTCAAAATTTAAAATCGTTTTGGTTAAATTTATATAGTAATTACTTTTTCTCAATTTGCTTAACTATTAGAATTTTTTCCTGCAACGGACAGTATAATGAACTATGAAAAAATAAGTAAATCATATAAGTTAATCAAGAAAATAAAATATAAATGATAGCATTTTAAAATAGTTCCGGATGTTTATTGTTATATATACAGTGATAGTGTAGAGATAGCTGGCCCACAACATATGTAGGAGTGAGAGATAAAGAAAGACTTCCGTTCCCTGACCTTCATCTTAACATCTGCGACAAGTCAATTAGTGACTTGTCTGTGTAGACTAACTGTACAAAGACCTCGTTATGTTGACAATGTCTGGTGATTGCTTGAAAGATGTTCTGTGTCTGAAAACCAATCGGGGAGAAATAACATTTTTTTGTTTTACCAGGCACAATGATATGATCATGATCATATTATTGTAATAAATTCATTCATACAATAATGTATCACCTTGTTAATATTTTTCATTTTTTGATTGGAACGATCATTGATATTAAATTATTTAACTTGTTTTAAGCTAAATAAACTTTTTTCAATAGTTCCTTTGTTATTAATTTTAATTTACATTTTGTTTGAATATAGTTTATAAATATTTTTCAAAGAATTCATTCTTATTAAGGGAAAAATTGTTTTTTTTTCAAAATTGTTTATCTTGATTTCTTAAAGAGTTATGCTGGTTTAAAGAGGATTTTTTGTTTTAAATCACATTTAAAAGCATTTAAATGAAGTCATTGATTATTTCCATAACACATATTTACAACTCTTGCTATTTTTATCTTGATAATATAAAATTAAGCAGTTTCCCTAACTCAAAATGATGCATCGACAGGCTACTTACTAACACATAGGAAGGAAAAACCACACTTTATCAAGTACCGTATAGTCTAATATTCATATGTTTAAGGCATACTGTCTCATTTTCTGCAAACAAAATAGTAGGCTTAAATAAGTACTTAAAAAATATTCTAGTCAATTTTTGAAAAGTAGGTAACCTATTTTAACTTTTAAGTTGTCTGTCTGCATGAGCCTCAAAGGTTTGTTGTGTAAAAATATCAGGCAAATGGTAAATCATGATATGAACCATTACAGTACAATAATCAACTGTAGGCCTATTGATGGATTGTATTATTATTTTTCATGCTTAAGTTATTCTGTGTACAAGAGTTTTATCTTTTCAGGTCACTGAAGGACTTGGTACCGGAGCTGGGAGGTCAGCCTCTTCGTAGCCTAGTATTGACAACCTGGAGATCTGGATCTACTTTCCTTGGAGATGTGTTGAATTCTCACCCGGCTAACTTCTATCACTACGAGCCTCTCTTAGACTATGAGATTGTCCAAATCCGAGGACCCCCGACTTCTGTTGACGCAATGGGAAGACTTGAAAATCTTCTGCGCTGCAACTACTCAAACCTTGGTGAGTATATTGAATGTTCATTGCAGTAAGGTCAATTACTAATCTAAACTTTAGGGATGGTCAAGTCTCGAAATTTCAGGAAATTTTCGGGAAATTTTAAATCTCGTTACACGAGACGAGATTTCTTTTTGGCCGAGATTTTTATCGAGACGAGAATAAAAAAAAAAATAAATAAATAAAAACGCCTGCAGAAAGTCAATGCAATACCCGCAAAACAGGAGTGTGTTGTAGTTGCGTTTCCTTTGCGAAGGCGTTCTTATTTAATTAATTCTTTAAATGTAAATATTACTTTAATAATTTTAATAATACAGTATTACTTTAATAACATTTGAGAAGTTTTGTTAAGTGTAAGCAGTGTGAGGAATGTTTTATTACTATAAAAAGTCAAAACAAGTAACTATTTTATAAAAATCAATATTGCTTTTATTTTATGATTTATTTTATTTTAGGATAAGTTGAACTCTATCCTAACGGATATCACTATGTTTCCTAATCGTAGGCATTTTTAATAAGTTAGGCGTGATTAATAAAAAAATGTTATGCTGATGTTTTTTAATAAAAGATTGTAAATATTCTTGCCTATTATCATTATTTTTGTATTTAAACAGTCATCTAACAATGTTACAAAATCAGGTAAAAATTTTGAACGTGCATTTCCTGTTGTGTATGAGAAGGGAAATCCCGTCTCGATCTCGTCTCGAAATTTTATGAGGAATAAAAAATCTCGTCTCGTCTCGTCTCGAACTAAAAATCCAATCTCGTCCATCCCTACTAAACTTGTTACAGTAAGGTTGAATAGTAGGACAAAAGGAATCTATTATTTCTCAAGTTTTGAGGGTTGATTAGGCCTCTCAACTTCTCCTATTCTTCCACAGTTCCTTTACCTCCACTTGCCATCTCACCTTTCTTAGTTTCACATCCCAATTTCTTTTCTTTATCTATCCACCTCCTTATTGATTATCCTTCATTTTGGCATCCTTCCCTGTCTCACCATCAACTTTGTTTTCCTGTGAATTTTGATTTTCTTGCATCCTTCTCACTTGAGATAACATTTTCAATATATTTTTTTTCTATTCTTCCTCTTAAGCCCTCAACTGCCCATATTCTGAATTCTTCTTTCCTAACCACACACCTTGTTTTAGCAAATTTTTCATATGGGGAATAAGCAATTACCGTAGGTATCACGGTAAGACCTGTGACACCAGAATTTTTTTTTTTTTGTCCTAGGACGCTAGGCACGAGCCTGGGATTGTTTTTCACATTACTTCAGGCTAGACCTAGGGGTTGCGGCATTGTCACTTAGATAAAATCCATTGGTGACTTGGTGGGGATCGATCCCGGAACCTCAGGGACTGAAGTCCCGCGCTCTAACCACTACGCCAGCTCGCTCCCCCAGTAACACCAGGATTAATATTTAAACAATTTTTAATCTCCCTAGAGGCCAAAAACACTATCCGTTCAAATTCATAATGTATGAGTACACAGTAACTTGAGTAAAAATGATGCGATTTTGATAATATTTAGCATAAAGTTGTAAATCTATGTTTATTGAAACTAGTTTGCAAAGCAGCATGATCGAACAAACTATGGGAGCGAGACTTTCCCAGTTTAAGCACAAAACATGACTTTTTTACTATTTCTTTCTAAACCATATTTAAAGATGAAAAGCATCTGTAAGGCTATATTAACGCATTATTGTACAATCAGTGGTTGGACAAGAAAATTTCAAAAAAATCCTGAATTAAAAATGCCCATGTTGTTCTAAGAGTGAGTAAAATGTTGTAGTGTGATTGTTTATGGATATATTTTGATCAATATGAGATCATGCAAATGGAAAATCACTTAGTCTATAGGATTTCTGTGGCTGGGGTATTACTCTTTGAGTGCTTGATCCCGTTACCTCAGCTTACAATCTTCTTTATTCTCTTTCCTGTACATTCCATGCTACCACATTGGAAGTAAATATTGGTTCGTAATATGACTTGTACATGCCAATTGGATTCTTCACGGGTATTGGGGTATTTCCCTATTCCATAGTGTGTCAAGCTTCAGCAGTGTCCAGCTTTCATTCCTGGTTCAGCCATAATCTTATATGCAGCCTTTAATTATTTGTCAAGTCCGTTCCCTAGTGAGAAAAGTACCAGTATGTCTTAAGAGGAATTATGTATCAATTTCATGTCTCTTCCCATGAACAGTCTGTCCATATGCTAACTCTATTAACTGTTGCAGCAGACAACTACTTGGAGTATGGACAGGATCACACTTGGCTGTTCACTCACAATGTAAGGCTGTGGGATCAGTGTCAGCTACATCCCCATCTCTGCTGGCTGCCACAGTTTCTTTCCCCCTTCTGCTCTCTATTCCCCTTCCAGTCTCTGAAGACAGTCAGGTTGAGGCTGAAGCTAATCGAACAGTTTTTGTCCGATCCTACGTAAGTATCTGTTCAGTATGTAGCCTATGTGTTTTAACGATTTCATATTTCAATATATATTCATATACAGGGTGACCATTAAGTCTTAGGACGACTTTATAACTTTTAAACGACAAACGATATCACAACCACATTTGGTATACCGTTACTGGAAATTGTAAGCTACTTTCCTGTGTACATGGTGGTCGGATATCACCTTTGGGGGACGGCCCATCGGGGGTCAGAAGAAAATCTTTAATGACAGCCTATATTGAGTTGTACATCATTTTAAAGGTCTACTTCAACTGAAAACAATGCCGCAAACCGGACTTCAAAAGGTTGATCCAGTCGGAAGAAATCGCGTTTCAAAGTTTAACAAACGTTTAATACCATTATTACTATAGCTAATAGAAGTTAAGGGTAATACTTACACAAAGTCTTTTAAAGTAGGTGTTCAAAATGTCCACCATCGGTCGTCTGGCAATATGCTAATCGGTTATAAAAGGCGGCTACTGCATTTTGTATGTATGTATTCTCGTGGAATAGCTTGACCTTCATGTGATATCCTATGTCTCAGTTCGTTCAGATCTGTGGAATACTGCATCTAAGTATTGCCTTACCTGAACACCATAGTGTGGCAGTGCTCCGTCTTGTTGGAAAAAACATGATTGGAAGTCAGCGCCCAGAGTAGCTTGTAAAGCAGGAACAATCTCATTTTGGAGCATATCCTGATACTTGTTGGCATTTAAATTTCCATCGATGAAAAATGGTCCTATAATTGAATTACTTACAATACCTGCCCATACGTTTACTTTTTGGGAGTGTTGTGTGTGACACTCACTCATCCAGTGTGGGTTAACATTATCCCAATACCGGCAGTTATGCCTGTTAACATGGCCATTCAACATAAAAGTCGACTCATCTGAGAATACAATATCGTCCAAAAGTATTTGTCTTTGGTCAATTCTATTCATCATAATTTCACTGAATTCCATCTGGCGATCAAAATCATCTTCGGTTAGTCCCTGTAACCCGGTATGCCTTGAAACCAGACTTCTTTAATACTTTGCGAACTGATTCACGACCTATTCCATGAGATTGTGCTGCTGATCTAACTGATTGTTTTGGATTTTCAACGAAAGACTGAAGAATGTCTAATGAGCCGTCTTCGTCTGTCACAGTACTTGGTCGTCCAGATCTGGCACGATCCTTAAAAGTACCAGTGTCTACAAAGCGAGCAACTGTGTACTGTGCTGTGGATTTAGAAATAGGAGCTCTAGGAAAAGTAGCATTGAATAATGGTGTGACTTCTGCAAACGGTCTTGCATTATCGCCCCAGCCGCGCATCATTAAGAGTATAATTCTTTCACGCTCACTAAGCGGCATCTTTTAAAACTTATAATCATTAGTAACAGGATATGGCTGCAAAAACTACTGTAGCTTGAGTGGTACTGATAAGTGAACTGTTAGACAGATAAAAGCCATTAAGGGGGAAGTCCAGTGGATGGGAAACCCTGACCTAGAGGCACTGCTTTCACTTTTCATTGTACTTCTTAATACAGCAGGTTTTCCTGATTACACTTAGCACATTGTCAGACGGCCGAAAGGAAAGAGTAAGATTATTTCTTACTTAATAATGGTGCCTATTTTTCATTTTTAAACTTTGAAACGGGATTTCTTCCGACTGGATCAACCTTTTAAAGTCCGGTTTGCGGCATTGTTTTCAGTTGAAGTAGACCTTAAAAATGATGTACAACTCAACATAGGCTGTCATTAAAGATTTTATTCTGAGCCCCGATGGGCCGTCCCCCAAAGGTCATATCCGATCACCATGTACACAGAAAAGTAGCTTACAATTTCCAGTAACGGTATACCAAATGTGGTTGTGATATCGTTTGTCGTTTAAAAGTTATAAAGTCATCCTAAGACTTAATGGCCACCCTGTATAAACAAAACTGAGGTAATTAAGACAATTTAGATTTATATCTTTACATCGTCAATTTGAGCTTGAACATTTGCCTATTGTTAATCTTTTTGATTTTATATATTTTCAAGCTTTATGTTTTTTAAGACATTGCATGTACAAAAGAAACCTTTGGTTAAAGTAATCTCCCTTGCAACAGTGTGTTATCTTAGACCATACATAGAACTAGACTTTCAATTCCCTTGTTAAAGTTGTAGCCAGTTTTAGAGATCAAGCTAACAACAGCATGTGCTGCAGTTCATTACTGATTTCTGTTTAGTACACCAACATTTCACTTACCCTAGCCAAACTGAAACGTAACTTGTAAATTTTAACTAGTTATTAGAGTATACTATGTATTAGAGTAATAAAAACTAAGGGAGGAAACGTAATTTTAGACTGTTGCACGCTGTGAATGGTTCATTCAATTTATGCTTGTTTTGGAAAAAAATTAGGCTACAGCTAAATGATTATAATTGGGATGTCTACTGTCCAAAAGCCAACAAGTTCTCTTCTGTTGTGTTGATGTTACAGACTGAATGTCAGAGTGCTGCTGTTAGTGAGGGACCCACGAGGGACGATGCAGTCTCCCAGACACAGAGAGTGGTGTCCTGGCCAACCTGACTGTTATGTTGATGTTACAGACTAAATGTCAGAGTGCTGCTGTTAGTGAGGGACCCACGAGGGACGATGCAGTCTCGCAGACACAGAGAGTGGTGTCCTGGCCAACCTGACTGTTATGTTGATGTTACAGACTGAATGTCAGAGTGCTGCTGTTAGTGAGGGACCCACGAGGGACGATGCAGTCTCGCAGACACAGAGAGTGTTGTCCTGGCCAACCTGACTGTTGTGTTGATGTTACAGACTGAATGTCAGAGTGCTGCTGTTAGTGAGAGACCCATGAGGGAGGATGCAGTCTCGCAGACACAGAGAGTGGTGTCCTGGCCAACCTGACTGTTGTGTTGATGTTACAGACTGAATGTCAGAGTGCTGCTGTTAGTGAGAGACCCACGAGGGACGATGCAGTCTCACAGACACAGAGAGTGTTGTCCTGGCCAACCTGACTGTTGTGTTGATGTTACAGACTGAATGTCAGAGTGCTGCTGTTAGTGAGAGACCCACGAGGGACGATGCAGTCTCGCAGACACAGAGAGTGGTGTCCTGGCCAACCTGACTGTTGTGTTGATGTTACAGACTGAATGTCAGAGTGCTGCTGTTAGTGAGAGACCCACGAGGGACGATGCAGTCTCGCAGACACAGAGAGTGGTGTCCTGGCCAACCTGACTGTTGTGTTGATGTTACAGACTGAATGTCAGAGTGCTGCTGTTAGTGAGGGACCCACGAGGGACGATGCAGTCTCACAGACACAGAGAGTGTTGTCCTGGCCAACCTGACTGTTGTGTTGATGTTACAGACTGAATGTCAGAGTGCTGCTGTTAGTGAGAGACCCATGAGGGAGGATGCAGTCTCGCAGACACAGAGAGTGGTGTCCTGGCCAACCTGACTGTTGTGTTGATGTTACAGACTGAAAGTCAGAGTGCTGCTGTTAGTGAGGGACCCACGAGGGACAATGCAGTCTCGCAGACACAGAGAGTGGTGTCCTGGCCAACCTGACTGTTGTGTTGATGATACAGACAGAATGTCAGAGTGCTGCTGTTAGTGAGGGACCCACGAGGGACGATGCAGTCTCACAGACACAGAGAGTGGTGTCCTGGCCAACCTGACTGTTGTGTTGATGTTACAGACTGAATGTCAGAGTGCTGCTGTTAGTGAGGGACCCACGAGGGACGATGCAGTCTCGCAGACACAGAGAGTGGTGTCCTGGCCAACCTGACTGTTGTGTTGATGTTACAGACTGATTGTCAGAGTGCTGCTGTTAGTGAGGTACCCACGAGGGACGATGCAGTCTCGCAGACACAGAGAGTGGTGTCCTGGCCAACCTGACTGTTATGTTGATGTTACAGACTAAATGTCAGAGTGCTGCTGTTAGTGAGGGACCCACGAGGGACGATGCAGTCTCGCAGACACAGAGAATGGTGTCCTGGCCAACCTGACTGTTGTGTTGATGTTACAGACTGAATGTCAGAGTGCTGCTATTAGTGAGGGACCCACGAGGGACGATGCAGTCTTGCAGACACAGAGAGTGGTGTCCTGGCCAACCTGACTGTTATGTTGATGTTACAGACTGAATGTCAGAGTGCTGCTGTTAGTGAGGGACCCACGAGGGACGATGCAGTCTCGCAGACACAGAGAGTGGTGTCCTGGCCAACCTGACTGTTGTGTTGATGTTACAGACTGAATGTCAGAGTGCCGCTGTTAGTGAGGTACCCACGAGGGACAATGCAGTCTCGCAGACACAGAGAGTGGTGTCCTGGCCAACCTGACTGTTGTGTTGATGTTACAGACTGAATGTCAGAGTGCCGCTGTTAGTGAGGGACCCACGAGGGACAATGCAGTCTCGCAGACACAGAGAGTGGTGTCCTGGCCAACCTGACTGTTGTGTTGATGTTACAGACTGAATGTCAGAGTGCTGCTGTTAGTGAGAGACCCATGAGGGACGATGCAGTCTCGCAGACACAGAGAGTGGTGTCCTGGCCAACCTGACTGTTGTGTTGATGTTACAGACTGAATGTCAGAGTGCTGCTGTTAGTGAGATACCCACGAGGGACGATGCAGTCTCGCAGACACAGAGAGTGGTGTCCTGGCCAACCTGACTGTTGTGTTGATGTTACAGACTGAATGTCAGAGTGCTGCTGTTAGTGAGGGACCCACGAGGGACGATGCAGTCTCGCAGACACAGAGAATGGTGTCCTGGCCAACCTGACTGTTGGGATCCTGCCAAGCTGTGTGCAGATCTTACAGCCGACTATACTACAGCACTCCACCTCGCTGACAAGTACCCAAATACCTTTAGGTAACTCAAAGTGATATTTTTGTGAAATTGCTGTTTGCACTCATTAAAAAAAAAATTGAGTTAGAATTCTATTTTACCAGTTATCAGGAGTCAGGCGTGAAAAATAAACAGCTTATTTCCTAAATGGGAATTTTGCTAAAAGCATGAAAAATGTATCTTAACTTTAGTTAAATGAAGACCAGACTTGTTATCTACTTTGAGTTGGGTGAAAAAATGTTGGCCCTCGTGTTTTTAGCCAATATCGGGTTGCTTTTTAGAGCATTATTTAAAAAATAATTTCTTTTATGTTCTTTTGTTGCAAAATTTGTAAATGTCACCTGTGGTTGTTATCAAAACCTGAACGTCTCCTAGGATAGTGGATAAATTGTGAACATTTCCTATGGTCATGGTGAATTAATCAACATCTCCTTCCAAGATTGCAGTGAAACCGTAAACGTTTCTTGTAGCCACAGTAAAAATTGTGAATGTGTGGTTGAACCTAAATTGTGAAGATCTTTCAAGGACAGGAGGAAATTATGAACACCTCCTGAGGTCTTGTTCAAATTGTGAACATCTCCTTATGTTGTAATGAAATCAACAAATCATCAACATCTTTCAAGGTCGTGAATCAAATCGTGAATGTATCCTTAGGTAGCCCCTTAGGTAGCCCCTTAGGTAGTCTCCCCTGGTCGTGAATCAAATCGTAAACGCCATCCTGATGTGATGAAATTTTGAACATATCTGTGAAGCATGTTTTCTGAGGTCGCAAAGAAATCGTGAACATCTCCCATGGTCGCAGTGAAATGGTGAATATCTTCCTCGGTTGCCGGGACATCATTATCTACAATTGTGAAACATTCACAATCATGTTTCACTAGGGTGAATTTTTAATCTCACATACTTTACCACTTTCTGGGATTGGAAATCAAGCTACTTGCAATTCTTATATAAACTACACGATCTTATTTTGGCCAGAACATTTTTTACAGACTGAACCGATGTATTTTGGTATCAACTTTGGCCCTGTCAACAATTTTGAGGAACAGCAGATCCCTTACAGTAGACTCCCTCTTATCGGACACCTTTTAACCGGACATCGGTTTAACGGTTTTTCTACACTCGGTGGAAATGACATCTCTTTAACCAGACAATTTTTATCAGCACATTGGTTTAACCGGATTAGATTGGCAGGAAGTGGGCGGTACTGAAACGACTGTTCTCGTGAGAAAGATTTGAGACCAGTGATCAGTGACCAGTGTCTAAATACAATGATCTCCTAAATTTAAGTTGTAAACGGTCCATTTTTACAAGTATTTGGGGATGTTGGTTCAACTGGAAAACCCGTTATCCGGACTGGCCTCGGTCACAGGGAGTCCGGATTAGAGGGAGTCTATTACTTTAACCTGCATCCCTACCCTTAGTAGTTATCGTTTCATTTGTAATCTGTTACAATCACAGATTGTAGTGTAGGTTCCACAGATTGGAGTGTTTCTCTAACTCATGTTGGTTCTCAGGGCTATGAGGTATGAAGACTTGTCGCTGGATCCGTACACCGGGGTGCAACAGCTATTCCAGTTCTTTGGTCTGGACTTCCACCCTCAAGTAAAGGCTTTCCTGGACACCCACACCAAGACCAATGCTGGGGGAGTATCCAGCACATTCCGTAACTCCAAGGCCGCACCCTTCCACTGGCGCCAGGACCTCACGTTCAAGGTATAATCCCATCCAAACTGTTGTATAATATCCTGTCTCATTTTTCTCAGGAATTTAATATTTTAAACTTGTACCCAACTATTGTCTATTGTGTTGAATTTATGGTGATTGTGTCCGTGTTTGCTAGGAGGTGCGCTCAATACAGCGAGTTTGCCGCCCAGCTATGGCAGCCTGGGGTTACTTGCCTGCGCACAACGCATCTCACCAAAATGACTTGGACCCCATCACGAAACACTTCTCTCTCGAATAACACTCCACAGTCTGCCCTTGCTACACAGATACACAACGTTCAAACACCTGCACGACAGATGAAAAATGGTTCATACTGTTGCTGTTGTATAATGAAGATGGAATGAATTGGTAAAGTCACCGAATGGTGAGCTGGCAGCTTAAAATCGGTTTAGTTATTTAAATTCTTAACTCTTGTTTGCATTTACATATCTGTGTCAGAGATTTCACAGTTGAGATATTAATTTCTTTTCTCAATATCAGATGGCAGAGCTGTATTTGATATACACTCAACACTCGTTAAAAGATTGAATTCTATACAAATGAGCATTTTGAGATTGAAACACAGAATATTATTAATAAAGAATAATTAATTGCATGATATACTTTTAGTTAAGAATGTAGATTGTTTATGAGTTGTAGAAAGTTAAGAGATTTATAATTTTATTATCTGTACTCAGAACTGTGATAGTTAAGTTGTTTTTAGAATAGTTTATTTCATTCAATGTTATTGTAGATTTGAGAGTAAATGATCAACTTAATAAATTCAGATATTAATCTCAAAGCTGATAAGTAAATTTATCTTGGATATTAATTTGTAGATCTCTTGATATAACAATATTTTTTTTATCAACACTTTAAATCAGTACTTATAACTTGTATGCTTGAGGAACTGGAAGAGCTGATATTATTTTAATCCCTAAATAAGGTGGTGTCGTTGAACATGTATGGAAACTTTATTTCGTCATAATTTTTTTCATCGCAAAAATGTAGCAAGGCGCATTTGAAGTGTTCAACATTTAGGAGGGAAATCACGCTTTTGCCTAAGTGCAATATACCGGGATGTGTTACTTAGTCCAAATTTTAACAAATATTTCAACTGTTTATTACATGTTATTTTGTATATTTGTATTTAGTTTTTGTACATTATATTTTATTTTTATACATTAGCCGCAAGCGGAGTACAATTTACTATTTGAGTCATCCGATGCCATGTTACTCTAAGTAGTTTTTCGGTTTGTGATCTATTTTTAATGCTTGTCTTATTTATTGAAATTATATTTCTAGTCCTTGTTTTGACTATTGTTAAGGTTAGAGTTGTAAATGTTTGTTAGTTGTAAGTATGAGTGTTACAGTTGGAAGATAATACAAAGCCTTAGCAAGAAACTCACTTGATTGTTGACACGAGGCACTATTTGTTGATTGTTGTTGATGAAATCAAAGCTTTAAGTCACAGTGATGTTCTGCTGCCTTATACTAAACATTTGTTATGTAAATATAAAACAACTGTTGCGATCACAACTACCTTTCGACAAATACTACCCTTCTTAAATACTCTTGGTGCATTTACAAATTTTCATTTCCTTTATGTAATTCTGTCAATCTAGTAAATTTATTTTGTAATTTTTTATTTAAGCTAACATTATTATAGTTAGTTTTTTAAAAGAGAAATGTGAGTTAATTTTGCACTTGTTATTTTGAGTATTTCAATAATGTTATCGTGTCAGATGTTATTGTACAACTTCCACAGTTAATTTTTCAAGTATTCTTATTCCTTTACTGTGTTGTATTTTAAACTTTCCATCATTTTTCAATTAGACACATTTTATAATCATATTTATCTGTTCATACATACTCTCAACATAAATTTTACTTGTACATTAACATTTTATTATTTCTTACTTTAATACTCTGCCTCTTCCATGCAACATAGCCTATAAGGTTTAAATCTATCAATTGACTTTTTCCTATGATGTAATAGATTTTTTGTTAGAATTTCTATAGGCGTTTAGAGATTTTATACATTACTGTAAAGATAAAGTGACATTATGCTAAGTAAGGTCTAAAGTTTGTTGATGCTACACTATTATCTGCTGTCATTCCTTGTAACTAGGTTATGGTAACTTAGTATTAGAGGTAGTATAACAAGTAACAACTAACGAGAGCAATAATATGGAAGAGCTTGTATTTCTAAATAGTTTTAGTGGCACTCCCTGTAGTCAATTTAAGCGATCAGAAATAGAAAGCGACCAAAATCACTGTTTGCTTCGTCTCATCTTTATATGACTTAGTCGAGTTGAGAACTCTTTAAGCGTTAGCTTCAGTATTTTAGATTAATTTGTACTATTCACTATTCAGTATGCATTTGTTTTTGCATGGAGGATTAACATACTACAGAAGAGAGGTGATTTGAGGGATGTATTCATTTTATTGTCATAGTTCCTTCTTTTGCTGTTAGGGCTGCTACTGTTGTGGCGCTAGTGATGATTATATAAATAAATTTTGACACTGAAATAAATTCATGCTATTTTATACACGCTATGTTAAATAATATTCATCCTGTCACTCAAGGTTACAGCATTTATGGATCTCAAAAGTTTTTCAATCTGTTAGTCACATGATTCTGTTGTCTGCAACTTTGTTGTATGTTCATTCTCAATGGTTAACAATACTGTTTGTGGTTTATTCACCATTGTTTTAAAGATTGAAGAGGAGCTTGGAACACGGTTTGATCCTGAAAATGAGAATAAAAAACACATTTTTACATCTATCCTACCCTACGGGTTACTGGTACATAAGGTGTTTTGAAGATTATATTGCCGAAGTAAGCATTGCGTTCTTGCTCCTCTTCGTCATAATTTATCCATGCAACTAACAGTGGCTTGTATCTAAAGCAATAATTAGAATAAGTCTGTAAATGTCGACTGATACCAGGCCTTAAAACATTGTAGAAGCTGAACTTTTGTATTTTGACACAGGTATACCTTGGTTCAATTTCCAAAATCAAAATTATTTTGAAAATTCCTCAATCCCCCCACTAATTGAAAAGTCAGTAAAGACATTACTTTGAACTTCTTTGCCCTAGCCTCTATGCTAAATTTCAGCTTGGTTCCTAAACCTACAGGTTCGGAATACCTTATACTGTAATTTTCTGTGTCTAAAAGTTGTAAGAAAACAATATATTGATTGTAAATAATCAATCCTGGAGGCAATGATGAATAAATTGTAAAAAAACTGGGGCTTTAAAACAGTAACATTGAGGCTTAAAATGTGTCTTTATTGTTTCATTTTAGGCAAACTTAAATCAATGAGTACAAACCCTTTAAGAAGCACAATGCCTTTGTAAAAATTCAGTCTGGAAATATTTGAATTTTTGATGGTTACCGCGGCGACCGATAGGTAGACTATCGCAAGCGCACGGTCAAGTCAGCTGACTGAGTGAGACAAAGAATTAAAGGCTTAGAGAGAGAGATAGATAGAGAAGCGGAAGCGATTGTAGCGGCTGCCGTGCGAAGCTCATTTCGGCGGCAAGATTCTAATAGTACTGCTGAAAACTAGTCAGCAGTCTGACTATTCTCCATAAGCATTTCGCTTCTTAAAGGGTTGGTATTCATTGCTTTCAGTAAAAGTGTGTTTTAAATCTGTGTCAAAATATATGTAAATACAATTTAGGATCATATCATACTTTTTACTCCATTATTTAATTGTTATGCCGAAAATTTTGAATGTGGTGCATTGTATGACAACATTACTGGTATGCCACCATTGTATGATAATTGAGAATTATAACACAAAATAGCATAGGCCTTAGAGCATATCATAGAACATATCGTCCAGTCTTGTATACAAACTACGAACAAATGTATTAAATGTTGCATAGTATTTAATTTGTATTATATTAGAAAACATACTTTTTATCTATGTAAGTTTCATGTTTTGTCACATCAGTAACCAACAACAATAATTGATCATTCGTATGAATTGAGCAGAGGGTAACAAGAATTAAAAGTGGCTTTGATTTGGTAAACTTGAGGCGTAATTTCACATTCTAAATTGCTAATAATGAAGAATAGTGTCGGCCAATTGATATGTACGCATGAGAACAATGTTTATTTCCACGCGTTCACTCCAAAAATTATATGCTACCTATCTATTTTCATTTATTTGTCAACTTTTTACACAGTGACTTGAGATACAAAATATTACTTGGAAAAATCTGTTGAAAATAGCTTTGGAGGATCAGTATTTAAATTTTTCGGATTGTGTGACGAGAATAAAACTTTTTCAACTGCAAGAACTACCTGAACCGAAAGACTAAAAAGTTTATAGTTTCTTAAGGAAAGATTGTCTGATTGCTAAGTAACACCAATAAATAAAAAATACAGTTTTTAACAGCTGAGGAAGCCACTTTAATTTTTCCCTGTTGTATTACAAAAGTGTCTCTTAAAAATGGGAAAGGTTTTCAAATTTAATTTTAAACCTAATATATTAATTAATTTTAAGTGCGGGGGAATTGAATTTTAAAGATTTCTTTATTTAGTTAGGTATGAATATACTTATCAATACCTCTCTTACTATTTGATACTACAAATGTATTTATATAAAATTATATATTTAGGCCCATACATTTTTCATTATATGTTTTTCACCATCAAACTATTACTTATTTAAATTACCACAACACTTCAAAAGTTACTGTGGATCGTTACAACCTCTTTAACAATTACATTACTACATTTAATATAAGTGACTTGTCATTAAGAATTACAATTGTACTTGTAACCTCATATTGTTGCTAATGGCCTTTATAAAGGGTGCACAAATTTAAGGGATAATACTAGCAGCTTTGTACATACATTTGTAGCATATTATTAATAAATAATTTAGTATTTTGTAGAACATCATGAAAAAGAATTGCTTTAACAAACAGTTTAATGCTTTTGAATTGCATATTGTAAACCCTTTTTCTGATTCCTGTGATGGTATCTGTGGTGGTTCTGATTCCTGGCTTATTTGACTTAAGGGTGGGGGCTAGTTTCTTTGCTAAAGTTAAAACAGAACTATCTATTTTATTCTGTTAGTTCCTTAAAATTGATTTGAACTTTGTATTCGTAGGCCTATGTTGCTGATAAAAAAATGTCGTTGCTTTGATTTATCAGCTTTACCACAGTTTGAAAAGAGGCTATAAATTTATTTGAGTTTGATTAGGGATATAAATGATTTAGGTAAATTACTTCCAAATATAAACAATAAATTAAGTCTTATTTTTTGGTTATGGCACAGAGAAGTAAAAAAACAGAGGATATATTCAATGGTACGCTTAATTGGTGTCCAGCACCGGTCGCTGGTGTCTAGAGTAAATTCTACTTGTCATCCCCTTCCACTCTTCTTTCTCCCCTCAAATTGTGCTCACGCTGTAGAAAGAGACTGTGCGATACAACTGCTGTAGAAATATGCTATGTGGCCATCGCTGTTCGGGATCTTCCTTGCTTGATCTTGATACTAGTATATTTCCTCCCTAACATACCAGAGCTGGGGAGCGAGCCGGTCTAGTGGTTAGAGCGCGGGACTTCAGTTCCTGAAGTCCCGGGTTCAAATCCCGCCAAATCACCAGTGGATTTGATCTAAGTGATATTGCCGCAACCCCTAGGTTTAGCCTGAAGTAATGTGAAAACAATTCTGGGCTCTTGCTTAGCGTCCTAGGACAAAAAAAAATATACCAGAGCTAAAAACGCACGGTTGTCCCATAAGCTTGTATCCCCTGTATCTTTCTTCTCTGTCGTTATGGTCAGTTTAAGACTTGTTGTATTGAAGGGATCAAGTTTAATAAATATGGAAAAATCAGAGAAAGGGTGGTAAAATGCAGATACTTTTGCTTATCATTCCTGGGCAACCACTGCCATAGGTAGAAGTCAGTGCCTTTACCATAGACTAGGCCTAACTTATTGCCTCGGACAGCTTAGCCTAATAAGTATTTTATAGCTCAACCACTCACACCAATTTTTCATCTATGAATACCCATGTTGATTCCTACCGCAACAAATTGTTACTCGAGTACTCTCCGAGACCACACCATTCCGTGGCCTAACAGGATTATGTGTATTCACTATGATCGTTCTGAGGATACAGGTTTTGGTGTGAGTTTCAAGATGATCTGAAAATTGATATTTTGATACAAAAACAATCCTGTTTGCACTAATTTTTAAATAGTCTTTACGACCCTGTAAGTGATACTCAATAAAATTTTCTGAGCATGTAGAATGTGTTGTTTATTACCTGGTTACTATTTCATGAGTTATTTTAGAACTGTACTTCTTGTTTATTCCATCTATTACAAGTTTTTGGTATAAGAGGTTCTATATTCTGTAGTATAAGTGAAAAAAGCACCCATTATACTAATTAATTGATATAAACAAGATGGCATGAAAATCATATTTTAAAAAACTTAGTTGCTTTCAGATTTTAAGTTTTTGTTCCTCTTTGTTGTTTTTTTATATTATTTTTTTTAACTAATCAGTTACAGATGTGTTTATTTGGTGTCACTTTACAAAATAGAGATGGGAATTACCGTTACTTTTGAGAAACACGTTACACCGTTCCATTACAACTTGGTAACATGTTACAGTAACCTGTTACCAGTCCGTTCCTCCCCCACCACACCGTGACATCCAGGTGACATCCCAGCCCCAGCTCGGCGGGCATGTAACGAAATTCTCGCTAGGTGTTATTGCTCTACCCTGTTACTGGCCGTATGTTCGTTCTGGCTCGGCTGGGCTGTAACGTTATTATTCCAGCTTGGCGTTACTCTCTGCGGGTGGTTTATTCGTTCCAGTTTGGCCGTAATGTAACAAAATTCTCGCTGGGTGTTATTGCTCTACCATGTTACTGGCCGTGTTCGTTCGTTTCAGCCCGGATATACTGTAACTTAATTCTAGCATGGGTGTTACCTAGCTGGACGTTTCGTTCCAGTTTTTCCATAATTATTGTTGGTGTTAATGTTGCCACACTATGTACAGTTCTCGTGTACGTTAAATTCCGGCTGGAATGGAACGTTTTCTCACATTTTATTATTTTAAAGACATTTGTTGCTTTCAGGACTTTGATCCTGACGGAACCGGTACAGGAGATCAATTCATAAGCCAATGAGCGCAGCGTTACAAAAATAACAGGGTATTCTGAGTAACGTGTTATCTTGATAACAGGTTACAATTTATTAACAGTGTTATTTACCCTGTTACGTTAAATAACGCCCATCTCTATTACAAAATGTGTTGTACAACTTTTATCACTTTTGGCAACACCTTTGACTTTTGAGAAAAAATTTCAGTATCAAACTGTCAATGGTAACATAATCCTCAATGTCAATGTATTTATTTATGGAAACTTTTTAAGATAGGACCAGTCTTGTTACCAAAACATGTTTTTTAGCGAATTTCCCATATAAGAAATAAGCTATCACCGTAGGTCTCATGGTAAGACTTGGACCCGGGACCAATTTACTTTTCATTTTGATGTCCCTAGAAGCCAAAAACACCATCCGTTCAAATTCATATATATATATATATATGTGTCCGTTAGCACGATAACTCGAGCAAAAATGATCCGATTTTGATGAAATTTGGTACAAACGTGTTTATTCAAACGAGTTTGGGAACCAGCATGCTCAGACCATGGGAACAAGGTTTTTTGGGGGGATTTATGGGGTAAAAATTGGTTTTTATCGTTTTTGACCCTCAAAACATAAAATTTCCCAAATTTTCTCTAGAACATTTTAAAGAGCTAAAAAAACAAATAATTTAGTATATTAAAGTGTTTTTGTACAGTTATTGGCTACGGAGAAAATTGTAAATTAAAAATTCCCATGTCATTCTTATGGAGAATAAGTAAACTGTTGTAGTTTGCTTGTTTATGGATATATTTGGATCAAACATGGCAAATCTGTTTATTTTGTACTAAGCTCTTAATATTTTACTAAAAAACCCACTTTATTACCCTCCATGTAGGCAGCAAACCTAGGTACTCATTAAACCTAATGTTATTTTTTGAATAAATTTAATTGAAAATCAAATCAGGCAAATGGAAATTCGCTTAGTCTGCAGGTTTGCTGCGGCATGGTATTTTATTATAGCAATTATTGCAAGAGTACTAATCGCAATAAGATTGATTAGTGTCGTGGGAGAAATTTCAATTGTGTGGATTATGGGTTTGTAAATACCCATGTTTAGTGATAATTGTTTATCTTAAGTGCCTACTGATTTAGAGTTTTCACACTTGAAGTGTTAGTTAAACCAGACTAGGTCAGGTGCTCGGGGTGAAAGTATGGCATCTTTTCGGATCAGGTAATAAGGAAATATATATATTTGTTTGTTGTTTTTTAAATTTGTTAAAAGATTGAAGTTTTTATGTATTATGATTTCAAGAGCAAATAATTCTTAATGTTATCATAATAATTAACATAATAGAATAATTGAAACAACTAGGCCTATTGCATCATTGGTAAATGACCATTGTTAAATTATGGAAATGTATGAATGTTTACCTGAAAAAATATATAAGGTAAGGTAGATGATGAGCTAAAGAAGCATACTGTTTTGGGAAATGAAAAGGTAAAAAGATTTCTTATAAAACTACTAGTACCAGTGCTTTTTTCCAACAAAATAAGGATTGATATTAAAAAAACCAAAAAGTGGTTTTTAGTAGACAGACAAATTCTTTTTATCATTTAAAATATAAACAGAAAAAGTCTAACATTTAAAAAAAAAGAAAAATATATAATCAGCGTTTTTAGTTATAAGATTTATTTCATTTTACTGCTGATGCTTCTAGTTGTGTACGTTGAACACAGTTTTATTTCTTATTAATGTTTCAGCAACACCCACAAGCTGATCTTCTTGGTTTTTGTGATAATTGTGTTGAAGCTCGCCGCAATGCTCAATAAACCTGCAAATCTCATCAGTGGATCTCATACAGTTAGAAATCTTACAGAAAAGGTAACACTTATAATTATTTACAAGCTGTATTTTTTGTTGATCCCCAAAACAAATTTATTATTTTTTATCAATCGTTGAGATGGGGCCGCCACCTAGGTGCGTACTTTAACCCAAATATGAGTGAAGGATGAGTGTAGAATGGTGTGTGATGATCTGTGTAGCTTTGTAAATGAAGAAGTTACCAAACAACCACCTGGAACTACAGCCAAACACTAGCTGTACTATGGTGAAATAGTCAAGTATGTCTGTTACTTGAAAATATTGAACTAATTTCAACAAATTTTTTCAGGAGTTCCTTGATATGGGGTTTGACTCATCGCAAAACTTTGATATTGATGAAAATGCTGAAGTCAACAAAAAAGTCACTGAAGAAATGAAAATTATCATAGATAGACTAAGAGATCAGATTAGACAAGAAACTAAAGGATATAAGTTACCTTCAAACAGGTACACATTTTTGTTCATGCTTTATTCATTGTTTCAATGCCTTTTTTAAACAATTGAGACTATTTTGACTACTTATTAGACCCCGTTTATGACATTTAATAAATTGTTTATAATTCCTTTATGTCGGTGAATATAATCTTCAATCTTTCATGATCTGAAAACTAGGTGAAATCAAATGTATTACTCACCACATCCATCTGCTCATAGTGAGTTTGAATTTCTGATTATTCTACTTGAAGTGTGGATATAGAGGTATATTTGCTGATTTTAATCCTTGAGGTGTCTCAATTTAGTTTGACTCTCTGATGTTATAAAATGCTGTGAAGACAGAATGATTAAATTTTTTCACATTATTCTATCAAAACAGAGGTTAAACTCCCTTATCTTTTTAATGCAAATAATGGAGATGGAATCCCCTACTATTTAATCTTTATTGATTAATGAAATGAACTGTTCTGATAGAGGAGTATGTTCCTTGATTCTCCTTATAGATGATTTGATATAAAGGTGGAATACCTGATTTTCCATTGTTCATCGGTTCAAGGAGAGGCTAAATCCTTGATTCTTCAATGTCAATTTGTTGAAGGAGAGGTAAATTTCCTTATTTTCAACAAAAAAGTTACCTGATTCTTCAACACTGATCTGTTGATATCAAAATGAAGCCTCTTTATTCACAAACCTGTCAATAGAAAGGTGTAATCTCTGATTCACCTTGTAAATTTTGTTGAAATATACTTGGAATTCCTGATTCTCCATTGTTGATTTGTTGATAGAGAGGTGGAATCCCTGATTCCAGAACGAGGGGGCACCCCTATGAGGAGTGTAGTTATCACGACCTGGCGCTCGGGGTCTACATTCATCGGAGGAGTGTTGGACAGTCACCCTGCCACCTTCCACTTCTCCGAGCCTCTCACAGACTTCCGCACGGTGCAGGTGAGGGGAGAGCCTCTTGGCACTCTGGCAGTCAGAGCACTGCGGAGTCTGCTGACTTGTAACTACAGAGTGTTAGGTGAGTCTTACTTGGAAATCACGTTTTTAGATTACTAAGCTGCAAAAGAGTAAAAGACGTATAGAAAAATTTTATGAAATTTATAACATTCATGTTTTTAGGATAATCATAACCTCAAATGTTCAAAGCAGAGTAATCTCGATCATCCTATATTTGTTCATCCCACTACCGTGTTATCCGATTTCGATGATTTCCGATGATCGATTATTAGCAAAACATGTAATATTTCGTATGGGTATGACTGCACACCGTAACACCAATTTGATGAACCTGTCACATAGGAGATCATTAGTGTTGAAACATAAAGCCTAGTCCACACATGGAGACCGAGTCGGCCAACTATCTGCAGACTGTGCGCGGACAGTCGGCAGACAGTCTGTCAACAGAGTTTCAGATACAAGTTTCCGATGTGTTTTGCGTCCACACTAGCCAGCCAGTGTTTCCATGTTTGTTGGTATGGTGACCGAAGAGGACGTAATTATATCCTGTGCGGCCTTCTTTTTTCTGAGCCATGGGCCTATTGAATCTAGGAAGAGACTATGATGGACTCAACATTTTCTCGAGCAAGGTTCGTACGATGGTAGCAAAAATCTTCTATCAAACCTTCAGATTAGGCGGAGGATTTAGGAACTTCATGAGGTTGACTTCTAAAGATTTAGAAATTTTGCTGGGCTTTGTTGGTCTTAAGATTTTAAACTTGAAGAGATAAACAATTCAATAAAATGTCATATAATGATATATAAATCATTGAAAACTAACTCCAAAACTTTCAAGAAACTCAATCCAGCTCTTTTATTACCGCCCAAAAATCTTAATATTACCGCTTTGCGGTCTAACTAAATGGGCTGAATGTTGAACACCTTCGGCTGGTATCCAGTCTCCTGTCTCCAGACACGCCCACACATGCAGACTTGAGACAAAAGTTTTGTCTCTTGTCTCCGTGTTTCCCATTTGAACGGGAAACAGAAAACACTGTATTTTGTCTCCAGAAACACCAAAATTTGCCGACAGTCGGCCGACATACTGGAGAAAAAATTGCAACATTCTGGAGACAGTCGGCAGACAATGTTTCCGCAGACAAATCGCCATGTGTGGACGAGGCTTAAGGCACTTGCACATGACTGTACATTCTGATTGCTTTATGACCTTGAAAACCTTCACTGTTGGACTTCATGTTTTAGTATCAGGAAAAGGTAAGCTTAGTGGTTTTGATGACAAACAGACATAAAAACCTTTGAATAGGTTTGAGAACAGAGAATCTTTGTTATTTTTTTATGGGTTTTATTTTATTTCTTATGGGGCTACCCAAACTTTCCACTTATCCTATTTCGCCGCATCCGGATTATGTGAGACAATACCGTAGTCTTTACTGTGTGAAGTATTTCAGTTAATAAAAGTATTACCAGCTGTGAATGTACATTGTTGTAGGTCGCTACCTAGAGCGCAGTAAGGAGTACACCTGGTTATCCACTCACAACACCAGACTATGGGCTCATTGTGAGAATCATAAGGACATTTGCTACGAACCTGAATTCCTCACTCCTGTGTGTAGACTCTTTCCTTTCCAGTCTATGAAGGTGGTGCACATCCGGCTAAGACTGGTGGAGGAGTTGTTAGCTGACCCCAAGTAAGCTTACCAGTTGTTAACTCTTGAAGCAGGAACATTTTGTATGTAATTTGTTTTGGTTATTTTGTTTATATCTTTAATACCATAATTGCTTATTTCAACATAATATATCCATATTTAGCCAAAATAAACACACACAAAATTGGAATCCTCCTCCTCTATACTAATGTAAAAAAAAGTAAAATAGATGTGGTTTGCAATTCCTGTTGAACTCAGTAATGTCGTCAACTGCTTGCCGATAATGCATTCCCTATACAATGAAAAAAAGTCTGACTGGATAATCCCAAGAACTAGTGAAAATTAATTGTGCTCCTGCCATGATTGTGAGAGATATTGGCATACTATTGTCTAAGATGACATTAACTTTTATACATCGTTTCAGCTGAAGAAAAATCTCCTATTCATAGTCCAAGGTATCAAGTGCAACAACTAAACCTTCAACACTTAGAAACCAGGATACTTTGTGTTGAATGGAAATAACACCATTTACTAAATAATGTCCCTTGTTGTACCTTGATTTAAAGGCTTCGAGCCAAACTAGTTCTATCATTAGTAATGAGAATAGTATTACCGTACTTTGTGTAAGATATTGGCTAAACTGATTAGATATATTGTTTCACAGTCTGAATGTGAGAGTCTTGTACCTGATGAGAGACCCACGAGGTGTGATGAGCTCCAGAGCATCTCTAGGCTGGTGTCGCAAGTCTCCGGACTGTGGCAGTCCCACTCATGTCTGTGCAGACTTGGTAGATGACTACGCTGCTGCTCTGAGGTTTGACAAGCTCTTCCCTGGCAAATTCAAGTGAGTATTATATAATGATAAATTGTTGTTTACACTATTTTTAAAGTAAGTATTTATGAAAGTACTATCCTTTCAATAAACATTTCTAACATCCTAAATAATAATTTTTTAAAGAAATAAGTATAAATATTAAAAAATATGCAATCACTTGTTTATTACTTAAGAACCATTCAATCCTGAGAAAAATCATATTTTTAAGATGGCTCAAAACTGGACCCAACTACTCTTGACATCAGACTTTTAGTAAGCGGTCCTGACTGAAGAAACAGCTGATCTTAATCAGTAACAAAAGCTATATCAAATTATTCTCTCAGCACTCATCCTTCACTCATCTTAGCCTTACGCACCCATAGGTGAGAATTGTATGAACACAGGGTCCTTTATTTGCCTAATATCACCCATATTTCTTGGTTCTTTTCACATGTTAGACATATCTTGACATTGGTATTTTGTTTTAATCATTGATGCTTATATCTTAACATTGTGTATATTAGTAATTTATACATGTCTGGGCATATTTAATAGGAGTAAAGGCCAACAAAGTTTAGTAATTATTTATTCAAATGACCATCAATCATATCACTGGATACACCTATTTTTCTCTCTTATCTACTTGGAATGTTCTAGAGTGGTCCGGTATGAAGACATGTCACTAAGACCCCATGAGGTTATGCCCGAAATCTTCAGCTTCTTCGGTCTTCAGTATCATAGGGATGTGCAGGACTTTGTCAAAGTTCACACGACGCAAAACAACAAGAATAAATACAGCACGTTCCGCAACTCCTCAGCCCAGGCTCTGCTGTGGAGGACCAAGCTTGACTACAGGAAGGTCAGACAATTGCAGACGACGTGTAGATTAGCGATGGCTGCTTGGGGTTATCTACCGGCTCACAACGCCTCTCACCAGGCTGTCTTCAACCCACTGGTACAACCATTTAGTCTTACGTGAATCATCTCAAGTTAGTTGATCCTTCCGTATTTATTGGATATTAGTAGCTTTACTGGAGCTGAAAATCCCCTAAAACTACCATGAACAACCACTGATTTTTATACTCTATTTCTATAATAATGGCATTGCCTTAGAATATTTTAGATACACCATAGGCTCCTCTAAAACAATGCCGTGGCGTTGGTGTGGGGAAACGTCGCAACATCACGCCTATTGCCATGTAAATAAAAAAAAGTGAAAACTAAACATTTCCTATACTGTCCACTATAAAGTGCAGCAGCTGTTTCGGTTAGAGGGGACAGCCAGGGTTGCCACCTTTGGTTAGGGAAAAATCGGGACTTGGCCCACCATTAAATTATTTCAGTAAAATACAATGTGAATGGCTCACTCCTTCATTCAACTATGTTCTATGGTTCTATTTGAATTAAAAACTGGTCCCGTTGAATGGGATCAAAAGATAACGGTACCATTAATTTCACAAAACATCAATTTTTCAATTTTTTCTATTTCAATTTTCAATTTCTTTATTCATTGAGAAGTATACATAATACAGCATTTGAATAGTGTCAAAGATTACAATTATTAAAATATAAAATACAGATTAAAAATAAATCTTAAATTAAAAAATACATCTCCCCATACAGATGCCTTCTTAATATCTAGTATTCTTGAGGGAGGTGGAAAAATTCTTCTTGAGAATAAATTGCCATGTTTATTAAGAAATTTTTTAGTTTTGTTTTAAACTTTTTTGGATCTTTTTCATTTCTAATTCCTCCGGGGATATGTTTAAAAAAATTTTTACCAGCAAATGATGGCTTTTTTTCATAAAACTTTAATCTGTGCCTATTTTGCAAAATCTGATTTTTTTTTTCTCGTTTCATATTGGCGAACCGGTAGATTGGATACATCGGATGAGATTATGTTTAAAAAAATTAAAATTGAATCATAAATATATTGCCCATAAACAGTTAGTATGTTTAGCTGTTTAAAGAGCTCTTTTGCCGAGACATCAGAATTAAGTCTGAGCATTACTCTCACTGCTCTTTTTTGATGTTTTAATATTTTATCTAGATTGATTTGAGTTGTTGCTCCATATAGACAGATACCAAAGGAAATTATGTGAATGGATATATGCAAAGTAAATGTTTTTCAAAGTTTTGACATCACAGTACACAGACATTTTTGAAAGGGCAAAAATTCCAGAGTTGATTTTTGAAACTATTTTTTTTGTATGATCATTCCAATTCAAATTTTGATCTATTGTTAGACCCAAAAAGTTTGTGCTGGTCTTTTGCTCAATAAGTTGCGAGTCATACATTATTATTGGGTGATTGGAATTTTTATTTTGTGGTGTTTTAAATGTGATAAAATTAGTTTTTTGTTATTTAATTTTAGGTTTTGGCACACCTGATAACTGCCCAAATTTCTAAGTTCTAGAAAAGCTGAAATTTCCGTTTGTTCCAGTGTAGGAGAGGAAATAATTAAATTAGCATCGTCAGCATACAAGCACAATTCACTTCTAGGTCTACATACTAGGACACTGCTTATGTCCTTTAAATAGCACAAAAATAGCAATGGTCCTAGAATAGACCCTTGAGGCACTCCATATTTTATTGTTTTAATTTCTGAGGCAGTTTGAATAATTTTATTATTTTTTAATTGAGTAATTTCAACATATTGTGTTCTATTACTCAGATAGGAATTAAACCATTTTAATGCATTTTTAGTTATTCCAAGCAATTTCAATTTATTATTTTACATGGTTATATCAGGCATAATTGGTAGACTGCTAAAATTAACTAGTATTTAAGAAAATAATTAACCCTTCTCGGACCATAGGCTGATATATCCGCTAGCATTTTGTGTATAGCGGATGGTAGGCGGATATATCTGCCTACCTTTTTGGGCTCCGCGGATGGTAGGTGGATAAATCCACAGATTATTACGACAATAATTGTTATAGTTGCTTGTCTGTAATCATTAATCTTCATAAAAATGTCCTTTATTCAATTATATCTTTAACCAATGTACTAGGAATGTTTTTCTAGAAGAATTAAAAATTTTATAAAAATAAATAAAAACAATAAAAGTACCTAATAACAAATAATAAAAAAAAATTAAAAAAATACTTTGGGCAAAAGTGCTGCATACCTCAACTTCTATAAATTATAGATGTAAAAAAGATATTTTTAAGTTTCAATTTAAATACAATAATTTTGCAGTCTGTAAATATGCTTTGGGGTAGGCCGTCTGGGAAGGGTTAAAATCAAAACATTGTGGACAGTTTTATCATTACCTGAGGCAATGCTCTAAGTAAGAATTATAAAAAACTTCATCATGCTTATACCCTACTCCTCTATATGGTAGATCTGTTTGTAAGAAATTTAATATTATTTGATCAAGTAGTCTTTTTGTGATGGGAAGTCTTACTTTAATAATAGTTTACATAAAGGGCAGTCATAAAGGTCCTAGACATGTGTAAATGTAAATGAAACAAGTAACTGAGTAAGGTAACAGGTTGAAGATGGACCTATCAATCAGAAAATTTAAACCAGTTTTCCTCACTGGAAGAAAATAAATCATGTCACTTTATCACTTTATGTTCCATTGTTACATATGTTAAAGCTAAGTCAATATCGAAAACAAAAGGAACTGCTCAAGCAAGATGACAAAACATACCAAATATATTAATACTCCTGTACTCAGAAACACTAATTGTAAGTTTAAATATAGACTTACTCGCTTTGCATACACACTCGCTTTAAAAACTTACTCGCTTTGAAGATTTAACACTTCGTAAATGTGAAAGTGATTTTGTACCGTAAAGAAGTGTAGTTGTAAATAGCATTTTGATCAAAATTGTAATGAATAAACTGTTTCTTTTGCATTGAAATATACTCTGTTATTTTGTAATTTGTATGGTCCTGAAATGTGTCCAATAATTCCTATTGTCCTAGTATACCTCCCTCACTCCCTGTACTGTTTGCCATTCTATCCAAAGGGCTGTTCACCCTTTGACCGATTATGTTTGTGCTCCAGTCGTCCGCACAACCGGCCACACCTTCAATGGGGTATAGATGAATCCCTCCCTGTACCTTGGAAATCTGGAGAGTTGCAATAACTTGTTTGAGATACAGTAAAACATTTGTAACTTTTCAGTATCTTGGAATATACAATCCTAGATTATTTGGAATGGCCAAAAGCTAGTATGTAAATTCAGCAACCTAGTATGAAGAGTTAAAACACGCTTTAGGTTTATTAAGAATGTTTTTAGCTGTTGGGTTCGTTTTGCACTTTTGTAGATATTTTTGTACTGCTCTTGACTAAAGGTTTTTTTTTAGTTTATTAAAGTGGGTAGCCTTTGATAATATTGTTAACATTTCAACAACATTGATTTTTTTGTATTTAAATTTTCAATGCATGTGGCATATTTTACCTTTTTGTGAGGGAACGTCCGAATTCTGGCATCAAATTCAAATCCCTAGTTGTACATCTTAGTGAAATGGAACTGAACTCATGAAAGAGGAAGGGGGTGGGAGAAATTATGATCCGTACTCTCTTGGTTTTTGTTTTTAGTTTGGTTTGTTGTGATTAAATTAACAAACTGTGAAAAGATATGTTTTGATTTTACCGTTCATTTATTCAACTCATGTTATGCAACTTAAAAGTTTGCAGGCGGAATTTTAACCCCTTTGGCTGTGACATCCATTTTGCTATAGGGGTAAAATTCCACCACTCCTTGTTTGGCCTCTGGGGGATATTAAAACGAAAGTCTTACCTTGAGACCTACAGTAATAGCTCATTCCCTGTACGGTAAATCCACTAAATGATTGAAACAGTTTAGTCAATGTATATAATTATGTTAAATCATACAAAATCTTTTTCAATTTTATATATTGACAAAAAACCATTTTACTATCACCATTGTGTATTGTATTCAAGAAAATGTATAGGCCTACCATGCATAGTTGGGAAAGTTAGTCAAAAATTCTAACTAGTTAGAAGTTATAAGTTAGTCCGGTAAAAAGTAACTGATAGAAGTTATAAGTTAGTTAGTTTAAAAAGTAACTGATAGAAGTTATTAGTTAGTTGAAAAACTAACTGATAGAAAATAAAGTTAGTTTTAGTAGAAATTAGTTGTTCGTTGGGCAGTTGTTTTAAAGTATTTCTTAATGTCACATCTTGGTTACTAATATATACTATAATATGAGTAAAGATTGCGCAAGATATGATTTAAAAAATGGCTCCCACGATTTCCTCCAATTTTAATGCTATTGAAAATTGCTTGTATAATACATTTGCATTGTATGATCTCTTACTAACCAAAGGGATAATTACGACTGTTCAAAAACATTAAGTGTTTTACTGCAAAACAATATACACTGACATTGAACTAAAAATCTAAAGGAAAGGCCAAGGAGATTTGTATTTTTCGACAATGCACCGCACGAATTGATGCGTTATTACACCATCCCGTAATTATAGTTGCAACTTCCACGATCCCAGTGACTTAATGCAATAACGGTCGTCAGATAACAGATGCTATGTATCATGAGTTTTATATTGATTGAAGCTTATTTTGGACATTTTATAGATTGATCGTCCAAATTAAAAAGTTTTGTAGACTAAATTGAGGATAAGTGGATGTCTAACAAAAACGAATTGACTTTACTACTTAATTAATCGTAGTAAGACTTAATATTTGTATTAATATTTGTAGGCTTATAAGCTCTATTTTTTACCTCGTGAACAAATCAAACACCTCGAGCAAGATCGGTCCCCTGGTACTTGTGTTTAAATCAAACATTGTCACATTTGACATTACTACAACATAAACAAATGACATAAAACTTGTCAGATAATGAACATCAACTAAAGACAATGTTTTGACACTTGAGATGATGTATCAATCACCAAACAAACATTTCCCCTTCCCACCCATAAGTGCTTGGGGTGTTGATAATGGCCGTCACTACCCTTTTACAGGCCCACTGCATTCCAAAGCAACTGGACTTTGACTTTCTCTTTCCCCACCCCCCGCGTTGTTTGTCTACAAGGGCACTAACCTCTCACGGCTGCACGCAACCCTCACTGATCACGTGAAATAAATAACCAGTATTTGAGATGCTTCCGCATAATTGGGAAAGTTAGTTGAAAATTCTAACTAGTTAGAAGTTATTAGTTAGTCCCGTAAAAAGTAACCGATAGAAGTTATTAGTTAGTTAATTTAAAAACAAACGAATAAAATAGAAGTTAGCCAAAAAACTAATGAATAGTGCTATTCGATAGAATTTCTATTCGTTATTCCCAAGTATGCTACCATGATTGTTTTTAGAGTTGTGGTTTATATAAAATAACTTTTCTACCAAGGGAGGGTAGATTTTTACTGATTTTGGTTGTTGAGAGATTACAGTACATTAGCACACAAGTGTTTAGTCCTGTATGTAAGCAGACCTTGTGTACCCATTAAGCAGAACTGTGGCTCAGTTTAGGGTCATGTAGCCACAGCGTGTGGTGAGAGGAAAGTCTTGTATCAGAGACATAACTCAACACTCACACTTGTACTGTAAATGCTGCACTGACCTTTCCTCGCTAACTCTGAGTGTGTTAGGTCACTTGTTTGTTTGTTGAACAGATGAATATATAAACAAGAGTGACTTTTGGGTTGAAGTCGGATTTGAAAATGAAAATGTTGTTGATATTTTTGATATGTTGTGAATTAGTTATAAAACTAGTATACTGATATAATATCTATCTATGCCAAAATAACATGTTTTATATATGCATGTGTGAGAAAGTGGATGGAAAAAGTTTCTTGGTGTCGTTTGATAGGCAATTTTGAAAGCAAAATAAAAGTGTACGTGAATTAAAAAAAAAAAACGGCTGTTTTTATTTAAGTTACACAATTTAAAATGTCTGCAATTTTGAAACCAATAATTTTTAACGATAATTTTGTCGTAAATACACTATGACTTGATACAATGTAATACGGAACGGAAAGTAAGTAAAAGAAACGTCTTAAAAAATTAATTACTCAGTTTCATAAAGATATCATAAACAGTTTTTAGAAATACATTTAAAACATAAAAAAACCGCAGATAACTTGCAAACAAGGCATTTTTGAAAAAAAAAGTTATTCGTGATCTTTGTTTTATTTTAAACCTATTTCTGAATTCTTTGACACCCTGTAGATTAAAACACTTTCCATTTATTTTCACAAGGAAACACAATGTAAAAGTAGGAAATATTGTTGGTAAATAAAACTTTTACTTTCTACATAGCAGTATTTGTTCTTGTCGAACATCTTATTCTATCCTCCATAGTATATTATCCATATACCCAGTATAGTATCCATATTTAGCCACATATTTTGGCATGTTGTTTGACTATATTTACTGTAATTAAAAGAACGTGCCATATTTCCTGAAAATGTCTCACACCTGGCAAAAAATATCACAGAAGATAATCAGATATCTTATGCAAAAACAAAGAAAAACCATAAAAGAACAAAGCCTATTACAAAAAATTCAACTGAACATTATTTACAGCTCTTGGGAAAATAATACCACCTCCGCAGCAAACCTACATTTATTATTGCCATAAAATATTGCCTTAAAAGTGCTACAACATTAATTTAATATTTAAAAAACATTAATTTTAATGAGTACCCAACATTTTCCTAAAACTTGTAACTGCACAAGAACGCTTAGATATTGTTTTAATCTCAATACAGTGTTAGTAATGAAAGTTAGGTATAAATAAAAAAATATTTGAAACTGACTACCAAACACCCTGTATAACATTTTGATGAATACTGTTTTTGGCATCTGGAGACACCAAAAGTAAATAGGTCCCAGGTCTAGATCTTACCACACCACATGGCAAACGCCTTTTCTATAAAGGGGGAATTGGCTAAAACCATTAAAACAAAATAAGTCTCTTCATCGTAGGCTAAAATATAATTGTTGAATCAAGCACTATAAAATAGTTGAATTTACGGAGTAGCTTAGAAATGTGGAAGTGTTTAAATATGCAAGGTGTCAGATTCTATGTTGTGTTGTATCCCCCAAGCGTAACATGTTGAGTGTAAGATGACAGTCGGTGTCTAGTCTCTGTTGTGGTAGGAAATGTTCTTGATGGTAAAGTGTTTTCTTTCTTTGTCTAACGTTTATAGATTTAAGGAAGTTCTAAATTCAAGGAGAAGTGTTTTATTGTTTATTTTTAAGCGCTGTAGGGAATCATTAGTTTTTGAAGAAGTTAATTGTCTGTTGATGTTTATTCGAACTCCTGATACTAAGGTAAGATTCTAGGTTATTTATACTTTGAAACAACTGTTAATTTAATTAGGTTGAATTTCTGTAGAATTAATTAATATAAGTTGATAAAGATAATTTAGTAAACATTTTTTAGATGAATAAAACACCAGTATTTTGATTATATAGTAAATAATAAAAGATATAAATGTAATTTAATTTACTAATTTAGCCTAATAAAGTGTGTAAAATTGTATAGTGTTAGCTAGATTAATCTACTGCCAGTAATTTCCATTTAAAATTTACCACTTTCATAATACAATATAGACGTTCAAACTTTAATCACAATACATACTGAATATTTCTCGTATTATGACAGCCCTGGCCTCAGTACAGAGCTACACAAGGCATCACTCCATTATTACCCTTATCCTTGATGCAGTTATGGACTAAAATATGCCAGTTGTGTCTGTATCTAATTAATTTTTAATATTGAGTGGTATCTTTATAAACGTTATTCTAATATATTTTGATCTTACCGTCTACGCAACCAGGGGCTATACGGTGGTTACGGGTTCAGGGGCTTGGTTTTGGTGTAGCTATGGACGTTTCGGAGATAACTCCATCTTCAGGTGCGTAGTGGTACACTATATGTTGTTACACTTAACACGAAAAGTCTTCTTTTGCATTGCGTCAGGGGTTAAATAAATAGTAAACATATACAAACACTTTGTTCATTTTAATTTATGAGCTTAAGGAACTAAAACATACGTCAGATGCACACTCTCATGACATGAGAACTCAAAAACTGAGTTTTTAAATATGTAAAGTGAGTGCGTTGTTCAATATGTACAAGTGTGAGTTGATTATGTTTACTTTTGTCATAAACAAGCTCTGTTGTTAAAACGTTTACCAACTCTTTTAATAGTCTGCAAGACAAAAACCTATCCTAATTTAATCATGCTTCTAACAATATTTTGTCCATGTAACATCAACAAATCGAGATTAACTGTTGGAGGGATCTGGGCCTTTGAAGGGTAGCAGAGCTGATCACTTGAACTAATATGGTTAACCCTTGTACACACTTCATTGGGCCCGTAACCACCTTCCTCGCACAAACCTACATTGACATGTTAAGGCATAGTTAGAAATTCGTTACTCATGCGGAACTAAGTAAATTTCATGTCTTGTAGGTACATCAATAAGACAACATTTTAACAGTAAAATATTAGTAAGCCCTTCATTTATAACTTCACAACACTCTAAAAAACTTAATGTCATTAAACCTAAACCACAGTGACCTATTGCCAAATTATTACCGGCAATAGCCAAAACTGGGGCTGGTATCCATGATATTCCGAAAACTATATGGTTAATAACTGCCTGACCGTCACAATACAAAAAATAACATGTTGGCATTTACAACAAACTACACATTTTCAAACTGAGTGAATAAGTAAAGATTAAGCTCAGAAGACAAAACTAGATATAAAGAAAACCCTTCACTACATAGAATAATAAATTCAAAACCAAAGTATTCAGTCCAAATCTTGTTTTTATGTTTTCTGACTCTTAGTGACAAGTTAATTAATGGGTTTCAACTATGTGTAAACGTATATCAAAGTGATTTCAAATATATCTTGATGCAAACCAACCTTGTATTGTTTTTTCACATATTGTACACATTTTCTTGTATCCACTTTTGTTTAGCAAGCTAAACGATTGATGGACAATTTTTTTAAAATGTATAGGCTTACACAATTTGGTCTACCGGTACATATTTTCATTTTCACGATCATCATTGGACCTTGAAACACTTATATTGCTAAAATGAAACCACACATTGGACTTGGTAAAAATATTACGTGTGTGGTAAGTCTACAGGCACGGACAGAGGTTTTGAGTAATAATGACACATGCTGTTAACCTCCAAAACCAAAGCATTGACATCAGATATATGCAATTTCACAAAAGCTTATTAACAAACTTATTAAGTTAAGAAGTATGTTAATTACTCTTTAAAATAACTTTCAATCACTGTTATCAAATATTTGCTTCCTTAATAACTTTTACCATAGATTAATTTCAGCCCTCTATAATTAAAGTTCACAAAATGGTTAAACGTGTTTACATAATTTCAAAAATGTATCTCTATTTAAGAATATAATCACTGAAAATATAATCATTAAAATGTTATTTATCTCACAGTTTTCTACATAATATTTTCTGAGTAAAACTTTAAACTCAACTGAAATTTACAACCAATTTTAATAGAAAAATTATACTTTAGATTAATGTCAAAGGTCTTGTCGTTATTCGGTGTATTGTCAGATGTTAAGTCTTGAATCTTGACCTAACTTACCAACATACCAGGCAATCTACCATGAGTTATCAAATATGTTTTGGAAAATAAATCTCAAATTTTAATGCATCACTATAAAATATCACATCGACTTTACTGGAAAAGAAAAATGTGGTTAACCATTTCAATGTTGAAGGAACGATGTTCACTTCCAATTACTTCAGTTCGAATGCTACTCGCAGATTAATTGAGGAAGATAAGAAAGTCCTTTTTCAATGTCACTGAGATTGGATTAAAAGAACCAATGAGGAAAAGTCTAAGTAAACACCGATTGGTGGTGAAATAAAGGTTAACATGAGAGGATCTAGTTAAATAAAAGTCTTGTTTTGAAGTACGAAAGTAATTATAAAAAAGTAATTATAACTGGTGAAATACATTTTAAATTAAAGCAACAATTTTTAAAATAATTTTTTTTTTTTTTTTTTTTTTTTTTTTTTTTTTTTTTGGTCGAGTAATACAGTAGATAAAGATATGCCGATGCTTGATGTGAAATATGTGCGTGCATAACTTCAATTTGAGACCTCATAATCATGAAAATCGGTTGGGGTAGAAGAGCCAAATGAACTCGGAAAAGAAAAACCAAATATAACTTCCATAACAAATAGGGAGTAAATTTCGTTTACGTATAAGCCGAGTGGGACTGTAGATAAATATATGCCGATGCTTGATGTGAAATCTGTGTGTGCACCTTCAATTTGAGACGTCAATCATGAAAATCGGTCGAGTAAAAGAGCCAAAGAACTCGGAAAAGAAAAAATATATATAATATGGTGAAAGAGTCACACGTTTTCAGTCACAGAGCATAAAGCTTATACTATTACAGTATGTTTTTCATTAAACGCACCCCAAATAGTTACAAGTCACTTTTTAACGACATATTAAGCTCAAATTAAGCTAACATTGCGTTTTTGCAAGGTCCTAAACGGTGTATTCTTGAAGAATAGCACATATATACAACAATTAAACAATACATATCAGCTGATCAGTAATGAAGAAAAGGAAGCAGTGCTTACAATGATGTTCTTTTGTCCCTCTATACTTTCAATTTAGGTTGTCTATAAGCATAAGGCATTTCTTAAAAAATCATTGGGTTTATCTTACTATAGATTAGAAATGCATACCTTGCGACTGTATAACCGAAATAATTCTACAGCGTGTCAGCTTTTAAACATCTTAACACCACAATAGATACACCCCCACATAGTGATAGGATGTCAGAGTATTCTCTGACAAATATGGAATCCGAGATCGGTTTGAGCTATTGGATATGGATCATCTGTTGTGGTGACGGAATCGCCACGTTCACCCTTGTGTTGTATTAATAGTCAAAGCTTGTATTGTAGGTGCGTTACCTTAACTTGTCATATGTTACAGTGATTGACTTTTCATGTAATAATAAACCTGTGATTTGAAATATAATGAAATCATATTTTCACTGTGTTTGATTGAGGTTATATAGATCGTTAAGAAGCTGATGAGCTGGTTTTAAGCTGATGGTATTTTATTCACACAAAACGAGTTCTTCAAATTAATTTGCTGGAGCCATAAACCAATATAGGATTTAATAAATTTCAACGAATAAATTCAAGCATCTTCAGCAATTATCGCTGTAGATGAAAAACATAAAATTAATTAAATATGATCACGAATGGAATACAATGTCAATTATATGTGTCTGCAAAATATTACCTATATACTCATACATGAAACATGAGGTTTCTAATAAACAACTTAAAAATTATGTATTGAATTGAATTGAAAACAACTTTATTCATAAATCATACAAGTATGTACATTGAATGGCGTCAAAATTCTTAAACTACTTAAACTTACAACATAATATCAGCTGTACAGTTCGTCAAAATTATACAGTATTTTTGTGTTAAGTATATTTTAAGCTGGGATTTAAATTTTAACAATCATCAATTTTCCTCAACCCCTCTGGAAGCCCTTCCAAAAATTTTCTTCCAGCACATGACGGTTTTTTGTTATAAAATTCCAATCTATGGGCACCAACAGCAATTTTGTTTCTATGCGGGTGCCATATTCGTGATTATCCCCTAGTTTAGGTAACATACTTTCAGACAAAAGATTTTTAGTTAAAAGAACAGTATGGAAAACATAAATGCCGTACACAGTCATTATACCCATGGCTAAGAAATGATCACGTACGGAAACATCCCAGTTTAAATTTAACATTAGTCTTATTGCTCTTTTCTGCAAAATTAAAATTCTGTCCAAATTTTTCTTTGATGTTCCACCATAAACACTTATGCCAAATGATATTGCGGATTCAATGAAAGCAAAATAAAGCTTTTTCAAAATATCTGCTGAACAAAATTTAGACATTCTATAAATTGCATAAATTCCATATGTGATTTTGCTGACAACATGGTCAACATGGGAGTTCCATGAAAGATTTTCATCAACTACTAAGACCAAAAATTTAGTTGTAGTAACTTGATTAAGATTAGAATTTTTAAAATTAATCACTGGATCAACTGGATTTTTTTTACCTGTTGAAAATACCATAAAGTTGGTTTTACTGGAATTTAAAAGTAATTGATGATAGTTTAAGAAAGCATCTATTGATTTTAGGCAATTCAAAGAGTTAAATTCCAAACCGGAAACAGATGTACTGCTTACTTTTAAACTTGCATCGTCTGCATACAAACTTATTTTA